CATACAGTTATAAAAGTTAATTTCGTTAGGCACTATAAAGCGTTTCTACAAGTTACGTGTTAGTGATGCCAAAATATACTTTCGCTGGAGTATATTGTCCATTGACACCTTGAGGCAAAACTCTTTTTTAAGTGTAACGTTATGAACCCAAACTGTGGGTACAGAACCTCTTCAATCCATGGACCAACCTCAATAAAAGAAATTCCAATTACATTCTCTATCTACTTGAAAAAAAATAATGTCTCAAGATTATGTATAGACCACGCAAGTTTTGATAGGTGAGATCAAAGTCTTAAGAAACTAAATAATTCTAGGTTTCTTTTAAAAATAATCATCTACAAATTATTAAGTGGTTATAAAAATTTCACATTGAAATAATTTTCCCAAGTAGGCCTTCTAACCGAGGGAGCGGATGTGTACAGTTTACTCCCGTGGAACCTTGCTCTTTGGTTATTCCCACTCGGACTCTCTTGCAATAAATGTTAAAAGCGAGTTCGCACCACATCTGATTCTTCCAAACTGTTTTGCTCCAAATCCAATGCCTTTAATAAAAGCAAAATTTAAAGGAATAAATTAGGTACTTTCTCTCCAGCCTTGGGGCCCATAACGTACAACACCTACGCTGTCGTGCATTCATTGATTCAAATGAGGGTGTCGTTTGCATGAGGTTGCAACTTTTAACCATCAAATTGAGGTGTATCTCCAAATTTTGTTACAAGATGCACCTTCGGTGTCATGAACTTCTTAGGATAGTGCAGTGATTTATTTGTTACAAATTTTTAATTTTAAAAATGATTTTAATCAAAGATCTATAAATACATGATATTATTGAAAATGGACGGGCTAGATAATATGTTGTAAAATGATTCTAATCAAGATATTTAAACACATGATATTATTGAAAATGGACGGGCTAGATAATATGTTGTAAGATGTACTATTTTTAGGATTTGAAATATGTTTTTTCTCCATATCTATTCAATTTGATGTCAAGATGATCAATTTAATGTTTTTTCAATATCAAAACAACATTTTTCAAAGATTTTTTGAGGTGTAGCTTAATTCTTCATTTTAAAGCTTCACCCTTATATAAACTTTTTCATAAAAAATGTATAAGGCTGAATGAAAATCAAATTGTAATGATGATTTTGCATTTTCACAATAAATTGGCCACTTGCCGCATGGACTAGCATAATGCCTGCAAGCTACTCTACCATTACAAAATTGACAATTACATTTAGCAATATAAATAAACTTGGCAAAAAAGCTTAAAAGAGTGGAGAACTTTACATTTATCCAAAACAAAATAAAGGAAAAAAATTTACACATCGAGTCACCCATAGATAAAGCAGTTGTCACCTCTAATTCTCACCCATCTGATATGTTTGGATTTGATAGCTGGAATAGCTTCAGTCACTATGCCATGCCTAACACTGCTTAAATCTTTATTTCTTAATGGAAAAATATAAATTAAGGGGTTGAAACTTCTTACAAAATCACTAAAAGTATCAAAAGATCACTAATTACACTTGGGGTTTGCTTTCGAATATCTATTTCAATGAGGTACATCCTATAAAAGGGTAAATATTTCCCATATTTCCCTTGTTCAGCATTGGAAAATCCAAATAATTTGAGGAACTTTAGTAATTTTTGCCTAGAAAGGTTTTAATAGAATAACAGAAATACCTCTACTTGTTTGGAGTTCGAAAAAAACAAATAATTTTATTCATTACTTGAAACAAAGATTGAAATAGAAATTTAAAAACAACAACTCAAAGGTAATTTGTTTGACCTCTTTACTAATTTTTCTTTTTAATAAATCAATTTTCCCTTTCTTAATAAATCGGTTTTCAAAAGAATTGGGGCATGGCCTCACTTTTTAGGGTCCACATAGCAAAAAAGAGAAACAATATTTTGATTAAAATGACAAATACCCTTGCATATTTTAGGAGTAAATTGATCATTTTATTTTATCAAATTTTTTTTTTATCCGAGATAATTATGTGAGAGGTCTGCGTGCAGAAAATTTTATTGAAAAATATATTTTGAGATAAATAATAATATAAAATACTCTGAGACATAAGATAAATATCAAATGCTTGGAAACTAACTTGTAATATCAAGCCTGAAGTTATCTCAAGGCAGTTAAGAAGGAGACTTAGCAAATGTGATAGGATGGAGTAATTGAGCTTTTAACAACCCTTGGAGACTAAGATTCTTATTTCACGAAATCAAGGATAAATTATCGACAGAACACAAAATTTTGAGATATGTCATTGTTATAGGGAAGCCAATGAGAAAGCAGACTGTTTAGTCAAGAGTGATAATATGTCATTGTTATAATCTGTACTAGTTCTTTGCTTCTCTTGTATTTCTTATAACCCCTTTTGATTTCACTGAGAAGCTTGTGTGACTGTAAAAAAAAAAAAAACAAATTCATCAACCACAGAAAAACAAGCATAGGCTCCAAAATATTTCCAAATTTACCATTTTTTAGAGAAAGTGAATGTAATCGATATCGAAGAGCTTTTAATGTTCTTGATTTCGAAAATCTTTCCTCTCTTGGCTGGGGCATGGAAACCCTCTCCTTCCTGTATTCCCAAAAGCACAGGTACTACTTCCGAAAAGCATACAAGTACAAACCCATGATTGAGGCACCATTTTTGCACACGGTTTTTATGATGCCAGGTAGAAATGAGTCGGCTCTTAAAAATCTATTTTTTGAGATGGATTTTTTGACTTAATTTTTAAATGACATGTAATCTCTAACATGCAGATCATGAATATGAATAAATAAATAAATTTTGAAAGATAAAAATAATAATTATATTAAGGAAACATTTGGACTGTTAATTTCATTTGCTTTATACCTTGGGACCGCATATTGTAAAAATGCAGTCCAGCTTGCATGAAACAATTTTTTTTTATTATATGGGATTGTCTATAAAGCGATCATTTATCTTTATTACAAGAAGATCACAACTATTATCACACATTACATGTCAAATTGGATGTCTTGGGGTGAGTCACAAAGTCTAAGAAGGTTCTTTCGGAACTTCGTATTTATTAAATGACACACTTACAACCACCCATTTTGAAATTTATAGGACAAGAATGGTTTTGACCTCTTTATACAGAAGATAAATATTTTCTTTGTATACTTTTCTTTATTATATTGCCCACAGAAACAAACAATTTTCATATGTAAGAGAATTAATTGTACCACAGAAAAATAATTAATCTTCAAATAGAATCAAACACTCATCACAATCAAAGACAATTAGTTAATGGAAAAAGTTTATATAGAACTAAGCCTCCAAACAATCAAATTAAAGCCCACCTCAAAAATTTCACCAAAAAATGTTGTTGTGATGCTCAAATATCCTCAAATTAATCATCTCAACATCAAGATGCATATACATAAGAAAGAAAATGGATTTCAAGTTTTAGAAATAGTGCATCTTGTAACGCATTTTTGGACTGTTAATTTTCAAGATTTTCAAAATTTCATAGATCTGCTATCTACACTATTTTTTAAACTTTAAATTTTATAATTAAATATAAAAATATATTTTAAAGCTATCACAAAGATTTTCGGCATTAAAACCATATTTCTGGACAGGACATTATTTGAAATTACGCTTTACTTTTGATTGTTTAGCGCCTCGGCTCTGTTACAAACCGCATCCTTAGTTAAAGTAAAATACTTGGGCGAGTTCGCAAGACAACATCTCTCTTTCGTCCGTCTCATCCTTTATTCCCCTAAACAAAGTTGAAAAGGAAAAACGATATTCTATTACACAAGAAAAAGTAATATTGTGATTTATCTTTTAAGCCCAGAGTGTTTCACGTTGTCTTCGTCGGGCCTCTTCTCATCGATGGCCTCTCCGTATAAGTGGAGAGACGGCACTAATCACTGTAGGGAAGAAAATGTTCTCATCATTATTAGAGTCTTATTTGAACACTATTTAGGGGTAGGGAGTATAAAATTTGTTCTATCATTTCGTTATATCAAAGGCCATACTTTTAGTCCGACCATTAGTCATTATATCGTTTCTTATTATTTAATAGATTGCAAATTAATAGTAAGAAAATTATATATAGTGAAGCCTTGACATATCAAATTAAGGATTACCTCGAAAATTCATTAGCATATATTGGTTCGTTGCAAAAAAGTCCTGATTTCGATTATCTCGACCTCAAGATGTATGGACACAAGAAGAATAGATTTCAAGTCTTAAAAATTAATCATCTTGTAATATATTATGTAGATAGTAAATTTTCAGGATTTTTAAATGTTTATAGATTTGTTCAATCTATACTATTTTTTAATATTTAAATTTTATAATTAAAGATAAAAATAAATTTATAATTAAGGATGAAAATAAACTTTCAAGCCATCATTAAGATACCTGACATTACATGTTTTGATACTATTTGAAGGTGCGCCTTATTTTAATTGTATCGGGCCTCGTACAAGCTACAAGGTGCGCCTTATTTTAATTGTTTCGTGGCCTCTTAGGAACTACACCCTTAATAGTAGGGCGCAGTTTGTATAGAGCCCAGGTTCTAAACAATCAAATTAGAGCCCACCTTCAAATAATGTCGAGAAGTGTGGTTTTAATGCTGAAAATCTTTGACTAGCCTTAAAATATATTTTTATATTTAATTATAAAATTTGAAGCTTAAAAAATAATGTAGATTGAGCGGATCTATGAAAATTTGAATAACTTAAAAATTGACGATCCAAAAATGCATTACAAGATGCACTATTTTAAAAACTTGAAATCCATTTTTTTCTCAAGTCTATGCATCTTGATGTCGAGATGATCAATTTGAGGGTATTTGGACATAAAAAAAAAACTTCTAGTGAAATTTTTGAGGTACGCTCTAATTTGATTGTTTAGACTTTAGAGCCTAGGCTCCATAAAAACTTTTTCTCCCACAGTAATAACAGTGGGCCACAGGGCGGGAGTATAAATAATAGCGTGAGAGGAGACCGTTGTTGCCCATTGCAGTGCAACTGGTAGGGGAAGAACACAGGACTGCCTAAGATCTTCCCCTATGAATCCCAATAGTAAGCCAAGTGAAGTTTACAATGCGGTGGTTAAGGGGGACTGGAACAAGGTGGTGGACATCTACCAGGACACCTTGATGGCTGAAAGCTATGTCAACACGGTGAACAGAGATACCATTCTTCATGTAGCGGCACAAACCGGGCAAACTGAGATGGTGGAGAAGTTGATGCCAATGGTTCCAAAAGAAGACCTGAGCAAGACGAATGAGCAGGGTAACACGCCTTTGCACGAGGCGGCCATTAGGGGATCGGTGGGTGTGTGCCGGGCTTTGGTGAAGCGGTACAAGGGTGAAATGTTGCAAAACCCATTGACGATGCGGAATAATCTAAAGTCTGAGAAGGATGAAACGTCGCAAAACCCATTGACCATGCGGAATAAACTCGGCGAGACACCGTTGTTCTTAGCGGCAGAGCACGGCCATGAAAAAGCTTTCAAGTACCTGGTTTATCAGGTCCCGGCATTGTTTGAAGATGGAGGTGATAGAAGCGCGCTGAGAAGAGACGACGGCCATAATGTTCTTCACTCCGCCATTGAGCAGGAGTCCTTCAGTAAGTATTCATCCACTACTCAATTGGAAACAGTATATTTTGCAACATTTGTTTTCTCTTTCCCCATAGAAATTGCACCAGCTTTTAGCAGTACTTGGTAAAACAAAGGGTGATCGATGGTGGAGATAAAACTAATTTCTCAGTAGTTGATATTTATCTGATTACTGTTAAAATGTGAAGCTGTGAGGGTGGGTGACAGGAATGTAGATAGAGATGTTAAGGTGACTAAAGCTATAAAACTCTTGAAATTCCAAATTTCACAGAAACATAACTTACATTCAACTCCAATTGGTCTCATGTAATATAAAATTGTTTTCTAATTTTTTTTTAATTTTTGAATTTTTCATTGTTTATATGTATTTATATATAAATATATAATTTATTTATATTAAATAAAAAATCTGAAAATCTTCCTCCGAATTTGAAGCACCAAATTGCTTCATTTTTCTCTCCAGACCGAAGAACCCGGAGCGAATTTAACAACATTATTTCGATGTGAAAATAATAGAATAGAAAAAATAAAAATTCAATAAAGTATAATAACATACTCAAAATAAGAATTTTTCTATTTCTTTTTTACATCTAGTTTTCATTTTTATTTTTTTTTTCCTTCTTTTTTTTTGGATTAGGTGATTTTGTATATTTTCCAGACCAAAAATCGAAAAAATAGTAGTAGAAAGGAAAAGAAAAAAGTGCGCCCCAAACATATTCCATTTTTTGTTTGTTTGTTTTCATTTTCATTTTTTTGGTTTTTGTGATTTTTACAAAAAAAAAAAACTAATCTAAATGTTCTTGAAAATAAAAGTTACAATTTAAAAATAATTTAGACCCAACAAATTTCTTTTTTTTTTTTCTTTTTTTGGATTTTAGAATTCACCCTTTAAGCCCTTACAAATTACAACATTAAAAGTTAAAGCTAATTATGTAAAAAATAAAAAATAAATAACAAACATTAGGGATTTTCTCCTTCGTTTATGTTTTTGGGCATTTACTTTGTTCAAGTCCCGTGTGAGTTTCTTTGTTTAAGTCCGATGTAAGTTTCTTTGATTTACGCTTTTACGTAACATGATATATATAAAGAGCATCAAAATTGTGCAAAAGACGTCGAATGCACGTGACGGTAGCGTGATGTTTTTTTTTTTTATTTCTTTGCTTTATGTATAAAGAGCATCGATATTTTGCGACAAAGTCTAATGTTCATGATCGCATTTGACGATTCCAATCTGCAAAAATAAAAGATAGCTTGTACTTCTGTGTGGTGATGGTAGTGTGATGTTTTATTATTTGTTTGCTTTATGCATCATGATACATATATACAAGGAGCATCAATATTTTGGGACAAATTCTAATGTTCATGATCGTAGCGATATGCTTTATTACGTCACGTTGCTCAAGGTTCTAAGTCTTAAAAGAAGGGTGCGGTTTGTATAGAGCCGAGGCTCTAAACGATCAAATTAGAGCCTACCTTGAAATAGTGTCGAGAAATGTGGTTTTAATATTGGAAATATTTGATTAGCCTTAAAATATATTTTCATCTTTACTTATAAATTTTAAAACTTCAAAAATACTGTAGATCAAGCAGATCTATGAAAACTTGAATAACTTAAAAATTGACGGTCTAAAAATGTATTACAAGATGCACTATTTCATAAACTTAAAATCTATATTTTTTTTTCAAGTCCATGCATCTTGATGTCGAGATGATCAATTTGAGGATATTTGGGCATCAAAACAACCTCTTCTAGTGAACTTTTTGAGGTAGGCTCTAATTTGATTGTTTAGCGCCTAGGCTCTATTTTAACTTTTCCCTTAAAAGAAAGCCTGACCAAATTTGGACCGGCTGTTCAATATAGAGCCAGTGAACCTGGTAGTATAGATATTACACCAGTCGATTCATCGCCAGTACAGGTCCTCCTTGGTTCATCGATTGAACAGGCCCGGTCTTGGCATTCTATACTCTCCCTACCATCCAGCCGTCCAATTTTGATCAAGGGAGCCACTCACCGTTTGATTTTAGATCCGACGTCTCAAAGTATTTCTTTTTTAGTGTTTTTTATACAATTTTTATGAATATGAAGTTTGGTACGTGCCATCTTCTCATTGAGACGCACCTATAAAAAATATTAAAAATAATTTTTGATAAAATATAATGACCAGAATACCCCTTGAAATTTCAGGGGTATTTTGGTTATTTTATTTTGTTGAAAATATTTTTTTTTTATGTTTTTTGCTAGTGTGAATTTAATAGAAGAATGGACGTTCAAAATTTGGTGTCAAAATAGTTTATAGAAAAAAATTAAAAATAAAATAGTGTAGAGACATGACATTGTGATTGGGGCAATCTTAGCCGTCCATTCAGAATGGACGGTTGGCTAAGGGGAAGGATAGAACTTCTATACTGTAGGAGAAGCATAGAAAGCTTGCCCGAAAAAAAACAGAGAGGATGTTTTTATATGTAATATGGATGTTTTTGGCAAGGGTGAGTTTTTCTTGCCATATTCCCATTTCAATGGTCTATGCATAAATCACATTTCCTAAAGTTTAAAGATGTTCTACTCCCACAAGAATATAATGTCCATTTAATCCCTTGCGTAAACTTCAATAAAAAATAAAAATAACAATTGTAATTGTACATTTTATGCACTTGAAAAAAATAATAGCTTGAGACTGAATAGACACTATCAAATTTTTAGATTGTGAGACCTAAGTTTTAAAATCTCAAATTCCCTTTTTTTTTTTTTAGAATAATTATCTAATAATTCTTAAGTGGCTACCAAAATTTTAGATTGACAAACTCCTCCCAAATGGGTCTTCTCGGAGTAGAAGTAAACTATGTTCCCGATGGAGCATAGTATACTTGTGCTTTTTTAGAATCTATGTTTTATATTTGGATTCGTTTGAACCCCAATATTTTTATTTTTTTAGTACTTCTTATTTTAGAAAAATTTTCAAAGTCTTTTGGGTCCTATACAGTACTTGGACAAGTCCACTTGGACTTGCTCGAGTAATTGGCCTCGAGACGGAATACCTTGGCCAAAGCGTCTTCTGAAACATTGTTAAAGGGACTTGGGATTTCAATATACTAATGTTAGAAAAAAAAGAAATGCTGATCCAAATCCAAATCGCCCGATTTGAATTCAGAATCATTGAGAGTGAATCAAACCTGTAAAATATCAAGAACCACTTGATTCTCCCCATCACATGGAAGTCTAGTTCTTTGATAAAAATGGTTGATTTTGTCAAAGAACTTGTCAGAACGGGCCGACTGTTGTTCAAAAATTTAAAATTTTTTTAATTTTTTTAATATTTGGTTTGGGAATCTAGATCGTAGATGCCAAACTGGATTAGAAATTTGGAAGAGCGATCCCCATCACCGAGCCATTCTTTAAAACCTTGTGATATAATGATTGCTCTGAACTTCTTGCAGGTTTGGCATTGGACATTATCAACAACTTCTCGTACTTGGCTGAGTACAGAAACGAAAAAGGTCTCACGCCATTAGAGATTCTAACCAGGATGCCTTCAGCGTTTAAAAGTGGGTGCCGCATTAGAGTATTTGAACGACTTCTCTACAGATGTATGCTACTTTTTCTCTCTCCCATGGTTATAGAATTAGTATGATATTCAATTTTACACAAGCAGTTGTTTCTTCCAAACAATCCATCTTAAAAAAATAAAATTCAATTTCTACCTTATGGCTAAAATGAATTCCCTTTTAACAATGAATTTTGATCTTCAATTAGGTGATTAAGACTTTTACGACCCGAAAATTAATTTTTTCCTTTTTTTTTATCATTGTTCATCTATGAGAATAGTCCATCTAAAAAATTTGGAAAATTAAAATGGTCATTCTAAATTCTAGAGCCAAGTATCTCACTCAATGGACAGCCTATATTAAGCGGGTAAAGAAGTACTTTTTTAGGTTGGTTTTCAAATCTTTCTTGTAATTGGTCATCAAAATGAAAAAGATTATATGTTTAAAAATAAAGATTAAACAAATGGCCTCAACATAGTTTCTTAATAAAAATGCTATTTGGGATATTCTAAACTTCATATCCCTTCAAATTACAAACTATGTTTCAGGCATTTGTATCACTTAAAAAATTGCACATACCCTCTCTTCATCCCAATAGTCAATTTCTAAAAATAAAAATTAAATTTGCATCATAGATATGGTTAAAATGAGTCCCCTCCAACAATAAATCTAGACCATCTATTTGGTCAATTTCAAGATATAGGCCTTTACGAACTCAAAACCATTTTTTTTCATTTTTCAACATTGTTCATCTAATGATAACAAAGCTAGGTAAAAGTTTTAAAAGGAGAAAAATCCTTCTAAGGTAGATCTAAACACCTTAACAAAATGATGGACGGCTTATGTTGATTGGCCTAAAATAACATTTTCTAGGATGAATTTTTCTTTTTTTTTTGTGATTGTTCAATGGAATGAAAAGAGTGTATATTTAAAATTTGAGATTAAACAAATGGCACTAACATGGTTTTTTAAGGTTGTTGAATTATATAACTACACAA